ACCTGAACCTGTTCAGCCTTCACAAGAGAAGGCTGAGGGGGGACCTGGTGACAGTCTATAAACTCACTAGGGGGGACCAGAAGGGTTTGGGAGAGACCTTGTTTCCCCTAGCACCCCCTGGCATAACAAGGAATAACGGCCACAAGTTGTTGGAGAGTAGGTTTAGATTAGACATCCATAAGAACTACTTCACTGTCAGGGCGGCTAGGATCTGGAACCAACTTCCAAGGGAAGTGGTGCTGGCTCCTACCCTGGGGGTCTTTAAGAGGAGGCTTGATGCCTACCTAGCTGGGATCATTTGAGCCCAGTTTTTTTTTCTCCTGCCCTGGCAGGGGGTCAGACTTGAAGTTCTATAAGGTCCCTTCCGACCCGACTTCTATGATTCTATGACCCTGGTTCGCAGAATAACTACAAATTGCTCATTTTAACTCCGTGGAACAAACTGAAGTTGCCCTGATGAAAGCTAGGTAGCATAGCCAGAGTTATGCCACTTCAGGCAAGGGTTAACCATGAGAAGCTCAAAGAGCACTGAGCATCAGTTAAAAAGATTCAACATGCAGACACTTGTATTTTAAGTGGCTCTAGTATGGTATAAGTAGAACATGCAACTTCACCCTTAAGAAAGAAAGGTAGGACTTGAAGGAAGTTTGTGAAACGTTAACCATTAGGATTACTGCCATTTTTTTTAAAAGAAAAGTGTGAAGATGGGAATAATAAAGCACAGAGAAGTTGAGCACCTTGCTTAAGGGCCAGGCCAGACATGAAAGGGGGTGTAATTCTGGCTCCACTGAAACCAAAACAAACTACTGATAGAGTTTACATTGGGGAGCCAGTTTTGTACCTCAATTCTGAAAGCAATTTGCTGTGTGATTTTTAAACAAGCCATTTAAATATTTGGTGTCTCAGTTTCCCCTTCTGAAGGAAGAGAGTCCTGAAAAGGAAATACTGTACTTCATAAGATGTAGCTTATATCAGACTGTTGCAGCTATCTGATGAACCAAATTATCTGAGGAAACAGGTTTCAGTGTTAAGCCTAATGAAGTACAAGATATTTTTTATTACCAGGTGTAGATACATTATGCTCCGTTGATGTACTATATAAAATATTCTGAGTTTGCTGACTGGTGTTTTGTGTTGTCGTAGTTGGACCTAAAAAAAAAAAAAAAGAATTGAAAGATATTTGATTTCCTTTCAGTTAAAATCATGGCATAGATAGAGATGAAATAAAAATTGGTTCTTCTTATAAATGAGATAAAAATGTGGGTTTACTTTTTATCAACCAGCTGTGTGACTCAGCACACACAATTGCACTTACTTGCAGAATTACTTTCAGACAGTTTCTTTTCACATACCTATTACAATTGTCAAGGTGGGATGCAAGTGAGAGGTTTTCATGATAACTGTTATGGGACAGAGCTGTCTGCTCCTGTACTTCAAACAGGAAGCAAGGACACCACTCTTTTTCTCCCACCCACAATTCATTTCAGATAAGAGGCAGAAAAATTTCAGTTTTTATGCTCAGTGGGGAAAGGGCTATTCTTCTGGGAGTACAAAATTGATGTACCAAAGTGGTGAAGAAAGGTTGGCAGGTGGTGAGCTCATAGCTTCAGCTCCCCCTATACAATGGTTACCAGAGATGGCCAGCAGCGTAGTAAGCATGCTAACTCTGAATACCTAAAGATGTTAGAAGGTGTCCGCATCTTCCAGACTCTCACTAACGTGTTGTGGCTCTATGTCACCTCGCTCTTCAAATCAGTTAAAATGATTAGAAAACACTGACTGAAAACATATTTGTGATGAAAAGCAGAAAGTACAAAATATGAGAGACTTTGTGCTAGAAACCAGGCTTTACTAAATATCCAGGAATGTAGTAAGAAGAGGGTATAAAATGAACTTGCCACAGAGGCAGTGAGCAGGGAGAGTCAAAGCACAGTGAGACTGTGAACCTTACTCATATGCCTTCAGCTAAAAGCAATATTAGGTTCCCTGCCAGTTGCATGAAGCTCTGCTGCCTTCTCAACAACACTGCTTCTGTCTAGCATGGACTGAGACTGATCTCTTATCCCACATACTCCAGCACTGGTTAGCAAGAACGTTCTGTGCCACAGTCAGCTGGGTCCTTTCGTGGCTTGCACCATCTGTACTGACATGTCTGGCCTTCACACTACCAATTTAGGTGGTTAATGAGCTATTATGTTCTGAGAAATTATGTTCACAGATGTGGTGAATGGCTGTAGTGGTTGCTGACAACAGTTACTGTTTTTCACAGTTAATCAGTCTACCAGCCAAAAAAGCCAGTAGACTTATAGCCAAATAGTCTCCTTCAGCAATAGACTCTTAACAGTTGATAGACTCAAGCCACTCAGGGCAGACCAGTCGGCTGACTCGCTGTTGATACAGGGTGCACACCATGACTTATGCCCTGTGAAGGAAATTTTTCGACCAAGCAGAATGAGTATATTGTATTCCCAGTGGTAATGCTACGGCAGCTGAGATGTCCATGGACTGTTCTGTTGTGTTTGTGTGCCCAGAGAACAGGCTCAGAGGATGCTAAGCTTGTCACAGATCATCTAACACTATGTGTCAGCACAATGCACGCTGATGATAAATTTAGAAGGCTCCAGTGCCAGGCTACAGAGCAGTTCTGCTATATCTCCACAAGTCAGCCAGATGAGCTATGAGGCCATCTGCATAGTAATAGATTTCTCATATTGGCTTTGTTCCTTGATTCACATGCAGATGACAGAATACATATGAGATCACCTTCTAGCTGGTACTGCTTCTGCGTCTCAGTTCAGGTGCATGGAGCTTCTTTTCTCTTATGCTGTACTGAGTAGCTCATGAAGGTAAAACTGTACTATCAACCTGACATTAGTACATCAAGCTTGAGCGCTGTGATGGGCATGAGGCTGGTGTAGATAAATGATGTACCTTAAGTTGTCAGATATCGCCAGGTGAAGGTAGCTTAATTGATGATTGATTTCCATTAATCAGCAAGATCCCAATGGCCAGACAGAATTCTTGGCTTCTTGATCTCTACTGAAACACCAAAGCAACGTAGTGACAGATGGTGAATTTCCACTCCTGTCTGTAAGTTGGTTTTGGTTGTATATCACACACAGGATTTGGAAAACAAAGGCAGTGTGCTTTCCAGCAGACCATGGGATTAGGTTTTTAGTTATTTGCTTGGACTCAGACAGGCATTTTAATCCCATGCACTTTAACACCAGAGCCATGGAAGCTTGGGATTCAGCTTGTTTTTAGGGTTTTTTTTCTTTTAATTTTTAAGAGAGAAGCTGAGGTGGGTCCACTCCACTAGCTTTCATCAAGCAAGGACAATGCTGGGAGTGTATAATGGAAGCTAGTTGGGATAGCCATGTGATGGTGTCACTACCCACTGCAGGAAAAAGTAAAGGAAGCCTAGAAGGAAAACACCTTCCTTGATAGTTTTGGATAAATATTGTGATAGAGCTTCCAGACCTAAAACTGCTGCAAACAACCACTTTGATCACTACAGGAACTGCCTGGAATTGTTTCTGGCTACACAAGGTACTAACCACAGAGGGAGGTCATATACACGTAGCTGCCCTGCTATCTTGTGACTGGCACCTAGACAGCTTTCTTATACACATGGGTAGACTTAACGCTACAACAGATTTTAAACTTTTAAATAGATCTATTAGAAAAGGATTCCTAGTTGAAGGCAGAAGCTCGAGTGGTTTTAAGACTGTGAGAAGGACATTAAACTTGTGTGTTCACAGAAGTCATAAAGCCATGCCATAAAATTTTACAAAAGAATCTGTGGAAGGAAGGACAGAAGCCCAAAGAAAGTACATGACAGTTGCACTGTACAGACTTATTTGAATAACCTTATAACAGTGAAGGTATTTGAGAAGACTTATAGGCCCCTGCTCAGTTTTGGTCCAGGTTTTTCCTCATTTATTTCCTTATAATAATTAATATTTAAGCATGTTAATAAACCATATGTAATAAAAATAATATATTTGTTTATTTAGGTCATGACTTTGTGTGTGTAGTGCAAGGCACTCTGAAATAAAGAAGCCATGTGTTGCAGACCTAAGTAACATGAATTTTCCTTTCATTCCTGATCTACACAGTCCAGCAATACTGAATTCAAAAGAAAGATCAGGCTGTTCACAGGTCGGCCTCCCCTGGCATTGTTGAAAACCATCTGTTGCTGAAGGAAGGATGCCTTGGGCCCAGTATCCTTGTTAGTTGTTTAAACGCTGAATTTAAAAGACAGTATTCCTATGTATCATAAGAAATATAACATATATCCTCATATCATACAGATAAGATGTACCCAGCCAGTCATATAAGCTCGATTAATTTATAGAGTTTTTCCAATAACAACTTGCCAAGCCTGGCTTTTTCATAGAAGGACATAAATAATGTACCATTTAAAAACAGTGCAGCGGTCAAATAACAACTCTTGGGGTTTTTTTGTTTGGCTGGGGTTTTTTGCATTACTTTTAATTTTCAAACCCATTAACTAATGAATCCTGGTGTGCCTGCAAGGCAAGAAACTCACTCAGTCTCACCAGTGGATTTTATCAGTAGGTGCAAAACCCCACACCCTGAATCGAGTGAAGAACTGATGAAGAACCGCAAGGCTGCCGAACTGGCAGGCAAAGGAGGCCTGCTCCTGGGGGCAGCCCAGGGACAACTTTGAGACTTTAAAGAGTGTCAGTGTTGCCTAGCAGAGAGTTTATTAAGAGGATGCAAGGAGGAGAGGTGCAAGAAGAAGAGACAGAGCCAAGACAGGGAGTGCGGTGCCAGCCTGGCAAGAGATGCACTACGAAGGACACAAATAAACCCTTCTTTAAGGGAAAAAAGAAAAAAAAAAAAAAAAAATCAAGAAAACCGCTTCACCTTGAGCAGGGAGGGAAAGATCAATGCCCCTGAGCCACGGCAGCCTTCAGGGCAGGTCTGACCAGGCGTCTCCCCCCACCCACTGATCCCCAAAGGCGACGGGACCTGTC